CCGAAAATTAGGGGTACCTTATTTTGGTGTCCTTATAATCAGGATCCTACTATTTAGGGTGCTATATCAGGGTCCCCTATTTTCGGAAACCCCCATATGCCCACGGTAGAGAAATTGGGCACGGCAGTTCAAAAGGTGGATGCACGAAGAGGCAGTGCATGCACGTAGCATGGTATAGCTCCTATCCCACGCGCCCGAAGCGAGCAGAAGTTCTAGAGAAAGAGCTGATAACATGCCCACATACATGTCGCATGCTGTACTGAAGCAGCTCAACGCCAAGACCGCCCTTGAACGGGCTTTGGCCCCGGTTCCCGCGACTCCTCATCGCCGAAAACCTTAGAAATCTTACCCTGGATGATTCTGCATCACTTTGGCTGGATCAACATTGGCATGCGACACCACCTCCTCGCCGTTAGCATCACCGAATTGCCATTCTCACCATCCTACATAATCAAAGCTAGCTGGTGATCTCACATTGCCATACCATCTTCCTCTTCGTCATGCGCATCAGAAGCCGCATCATCATTTGGAAATGGCGCAATCAGAGTGAAACCAGCTGAGCTACTGAGGCCTGGTGTCAGTCGCTCGCCGGCCAAGGGCCCGAGCTTCTGAGAGAGCTGCAGGCGATGGAGAAGCGCCAGGTGCGCGATCATGGTGGGGCGTGAAAGAGTGACAGGCACAAGCTGGGTTTCAGGTTGGGATAGAAAGTTCGGTTTAGAGTTTTGGTGCGCATGAGCTTTGGGATCCTACAGTAGCTCATGCAACCCGCCACATTGTCATTTCGGCACATACGGTTGTGCTTCTTAAAAGCAGACCCGGTGCATTAGTGCTCTTCTTAGCCTGGCAGTGTCGCTCGCCGCCACGTGGTAGGGCGGCAGAGGCAAGCTAGAGGTGGTGTTTGATAATGCGGTTGTTTCAAAGTACTGCACAACTGTCAGTCTCAGTAGAATGGGTTTGAATTTATCTGCCTGACTGCAGGCAATCTCCTGGGAGGCACGCTTGCTTGCTTGGTTACCAGTGGGTTTCTGTGGGAAATCTACACGAGCCTGCTTTGGGTTCTACTCGGATTGAAGTTTATGGCCTCCACGGAGTTTCAAGTTGTCGGCGTTCAAAGGCTCTTCAAAAGCTGAACCTCTCCCTCTCTCTCTCTCTCTCTCTCTCTCTCTCGCTCTCGCTCTCGCTCGCTCTTCCTCTCTCTCTCTCTCTCGCTCGCTCTTTCTCTCTCTCTATCTATCTAACATTTCTATATGTATATATATATATATGTGTGTGTGTATTTTTATATGTATGCAAAACGGGATGTATATATATATATATATACATGTCTCATGTAAATGTATGTCCATACACTTATGTGTATATATATATATATACACATGTATATATAAATACACATGTATGTATGTGTGTGTATATATATATATATATCTGGGAGTAGGACGCACTACAGGCCCATTTTACGCGGAAATAGCATGTTAACCGCTGCTTTGATGATAGCAGTTTTTTCGTCTTGGACTCAGTTCTTCTACATGTTGTCTATGAGAAGATGTCTCTTATGTAGCACTACTACAGTACTACAAGACATTCTGAAAACAGGGGGGGGTGTTTACTGGCGTCCGGTTCTGCATGTGTAGGTATGTATATACATATATATATATATATACACTTATTTATTTATTGAGTTCGTTCGTATATGCACATACATACATATATATATATATATATATACGTATATCTTTGTAGTCACGACATCACACGGCAGGCATTCTGCGACAGAGCGGGCTAGTTACGGCTAGTTCTCACAACCCAGAAAGTCTTTTCTTCAACAGTCCTACCAGGAGCCGGGTCGGAGCATCCCTGACGAAGTGCCATCCTGGTTTGGATTCCCAGAGGTTGTCCGGGAGAGTTTGAGGTCATAGGGCGTGCAGATTTAGTGGTTGAGGTGTGAAATTCAGGTGTTGAGGGTTTGAGGTTTCATGGTTAAGGGCCTTTAGGCTGAGGGCAATACGGCTTCTGGAATATGGCTTATCGGGGTTTACGTAGGGCTGAAGGCACCTAGGGTCCTAGCAACTCAGCGCTTAGGGATGTAGACCTTCAGAGCTTACGGGATTTTGGGGCTAAGGCTTTCAGGGTCCTCGATTGTGTCATGTTGGTTTAGGGTTTCTAGCGTGGAGCGAAAAGACAGACCAGCAAAGAGTAGTAATGATCTTGGTAAAAAAAGCTGCAGTTTTGACATTGTAGGGACCGAGACTAGCAGAAGAGGCAGTAGTAGAAGTACTTTTGCAGTTTTTGTAGTAGTACTAGTAGTAGCAGCAGTAGTAGTAGCAGCAGCAGCAGCAGCAGTAGTAGTAGTCGTAGTCGCAGTCGTAGTAGTGGTGGTAGTAGTAGTAGTAGTAGCAGTAGCAGTAGCAGTAGCAGTAGCAGTAGCAGTAGCAGTAGCAGTAGTAGTAGCAGTCGTAGTAGTAGTAGCAGCAGTAGTAGTAGTAGTAGTAGTAGTAATAGTAGTAGTAGTAGTAGTAGTAGTAGTAGTAGCAGCAGTAGCCGTAGCAGTAGCAGCAGCCGTAGTAGTAGCAGTAGTAGTA